CACCAAGAATCTAATTGCCAGCAAGTCAGGTAATAATAAAGGGCTGCTAAATGTAATGTTCTCATTATAGATTACATTTTCCCCCCTAGTCAACAAAATTACTTTCTGAATAGAAACTGTAAGTTGTTGACACAATCTTTTAAGTTTAAACAACCTAAAACCTAATAAATAAATCTGCATTTTTTTACATTTTTGCTTATGTGAATAATCATCATACAGTCTGTGAAAATAATAAAAAAATGCAAAGGTAAATTAGTTGCCAATTTATGTAGAGACTCCCACACAGACAACTAGATTTCTGAGCTCCTGATATATTAGCTTTAAGAGCCACAAGATATATATTCGTTGTTTTTAGTATCTATTATACGCAAATTATGCCCCCTCATACCATTTTAGTAACCACAACCCAATTTCTAACACTAATCTTATAAACCCAACCCTATTAATAACTCTCACACTAACCTTTCCTGTGCTCCTAACACTAACTCTCTGTAACCCCAACCTTAACATTAACCCCACACTAACCTGTCCTATAACCCTAACATTAACCCTCTATAATCCCAGTGTTAACACTAACCCTCACAGTTACCCTCCTTGTAACCACAAAACTAACATCTACACTAACCCTTCCTTTAACCCTAGGTCTAACCCTGCCGGCAACCCTAATTATCACACTAATACCAATAATTTGCACCGCTCCTACTATTCTACAACGTGCTTATAGTAATAAAAATGAATACAATAAAATAAAAAAAATCTAGGAATCAATCAAAATACATCACTCAAAATATACGTATGCACATATACAAAATTTACTCAAAAAAAGGTTCGTGTAATAAAGTCCCAAATGAATTTCTAGTGCTTCAAATCATAAGGTTTCTTCTTAATCATACAAGTGAAAATCACCAGTCAGTGCTCCTCTACCGTATTATTACTGTGATTTCCCCCACCGGGTGTGCTCTCACCTGAATGCATTTGATCTCACTACAAGAGCATGATCAACCCTTACTTGCCCCAAAACCGTAGGAAAATAACTCACATTAAAAAGGTGCTTGCAGCACAGCAGACATATCACGCATAAGAATCAATAGAGCTGTCAATCATGCATAACAGGACTCAGATTGGTATAGTTACCACTTGCTCCTAATTCTGGAGTGTCGTGACATCATATGCCCCCTCTCCTACGTTTTACGCCACAGGGTCACGTGGCTTCCTCAGGGAAATTCTATTGGATGTCACCTCTCTCAGTAATATATACCAGTCTATAAGCACCATTTTTTTTTCTTATTGGGCAAAACTATTTAATGGGCATAGTAGCTTAAACCCTATGTTAGCAATATAGATGCTATTAATACCAATATGCATTGTTTACAGACAAATATATCCCATAGGGATAATACAATGATCCATTAAACCACCCCCTGTGATAAAAAAAATGATTATAAAATTAAAATAATAATTTTAAAAAATAGTAATATTAAAATACACAATTATTTCCCCTATATATGAAGAATCCTGTTCCTCTCTCTGATTATATTTCCTCCCTTCTGCACAGCTCTACTAATAGTTATTCAGAAAACAAGTTAAATCAAATTCTTTATTTAATTCTTTTGAGGCCAAAGAGCCCATTTCATAAATCCACCACGATTCTTTTTTTACTTAATTCTCTAACTTTATTACTGCCCCTCCAGTGGTTCTTTTTTTAGTAAATTTTGTACATGTGCATGCATATATTTTGATTGTTTCCTAGATTTATTTTATTTTATTTATTTGTATTACTACAAACATATTGTAGAATAGTAGGAGCGTGGCACATTATTGGTATTAATGTGATGCACATTAATATATGGGATTGTGTTTTGTGCTAGCAGCTTTCAAATTAGAAATATTTGTATAGCAGCTCACAAGATTTTCACATACAACCTGATTGTCACACTAATGCAAACATAACCCATTATTTTCACCTATTCTGTGCCAGGATTCTATTTGCCAAGTATAGAGGTGAGAAGGCCTGGAAAAAAATGGAAAAGTTGAGGAAAAAAACTTTTTTTTTTTTTCTGCGATTTTTGCTTTTTTAACGAAAAATTGGAATAAAAGGTGTGGAATATGTTCTTTTACAATGATAAACAATATATTTAAGGCATGGTATTTAAACTATATAACACAAAGACGTTCATTAAAGATTTCTGAGACTTTATGGAAAGCCTTACATTACTGCAAGTTCTCTCAGCTGAAGACAAGCAAATCCTGAAATACAGTTCAAGTTACACTGTACTTCTCAAAGTAGTTCTCAAACAGGAGAAATGTGCATTTCTGCCATTAGGGGGAACTGCAGTGGAAAGGCTCCAGTTCAGTTTGCTTGTGGGCTCCATCTTGTACCTCCTACTGTTGGGTGTTGTTGGGATACAGTAAATCACAGTTTCTGTCCTCCTTTCAGGCGTTCATTGACAGCTGAAAGAGTAAATTTGTCTGACAAAATTGTTTATCTCTTTTAACCTTTAAATGATTCATATTAATGTTTGCCACCATCACAGCATAGTGTTTACCTATGGTCTGGTCAGTGAATTGTTTTTTTATTTTCCTTCTCTCACTAAAATGGTGAGACCAAGTTCTAGAGTTTGGATTCAATTTCTGCTGAAGCAAAGCTGCAATTTTCATATTATTGTGAGAAGAAATATTATTTTCCAAATGCTAAAGAATGACAAAACACATACTGGCACGCCAGAGGTGCCCTAAAGGAAGACATTAAAAAAAAATACTTTGTGGAATTAAATGAGGACCATAATGAAAGTGCCAGTAGCTTTTCCCTCCATAGTTCTCATTCCAGAAACACTCTTTCTGCTGCTTCTGGATCATCACAAAGTGTTTCTTCACCAGCAGTGTCTTCAAGTAAGGAAGTGCTACAAACCATGGCCTCCCAAAAATACACAATCCCTTCATTTATAAATAAATGACACCTGAAAATCAGGAGAACATTGATCAAGCTCTTGCGAAAGCTTCTGGATCAGCATTGTCAATATCGTAAAATGCATATTGGCAGGAAGCTTTTAAATTATTACAAGGGAAAGGGGGTGGTTACCTGTTCTCATGTTTAGTTGAAATTATCTTAACATGTACAGTCCTTGTTATTCCATTTGTAATAAACAAAAAAAATACATTTTTAAAAAGCAAGTTTAGTATATTTGTTGAATAAACTGTACTTTTACAGTATTTCAAGCATAATACTGTTATAATACTCACAACTTAATTTCACCTTCCCAGTGTAACAAAATGACTTTCAATTTGTAAAACTATTCTACACTATTTTTTTTTTTTTTTTCAAAAATTACCATTTTTCCAGAAAAAAAAACAGTTTTTTTTTTTTACATTGCTTCAAAATTTACAGAAATTTCACATTTCTAGGAACAATTCATCCTGTACTAATAGATAACAGCACCAGGATCCATCACATGAGTTTCCTATTTTGCTGAGATAACATCCTCATTTCATGTTTTTCCATTGTTGCAGCTTTGAACAAATAAATATGCAGCCCAATAGACTTCCATATACCAAAGTCACATCATAGTATATAACACCACTTACAAAATGTTGTAATAGATGAATATTAAAAAGGATATATGAAAAAACAGCCTGCCATCATAAATTAAAAACATGTCACTCTCTGCAAACCCAACCTGGCATAGGCCGAGGAGAGAAGAAGGGAGGCCACAACACAATCGCTGAGATCTCAGAGGCCCTGAAAAATATATATTTTTTAAAGTTACTGTTGGGTTGCATATTTGTTTTTCATCACATATTTTCATTTTCACCATGAAGGCCCACTGAATTTCCCCTAAGGAGAGCAAACCTTGAAATGCATTGTGCAATAGGGCATGATATATTTTCTAATTCAAAAAATGTCAGCAACAAGTGAATACAAAAAATCTTCTTTATTGCATAAAGGAGTAAAAATATTCCATGGCTAACTTGTAAAAACAGACCTTAGTCATGGCTAGTTATATAAAAAATAACAAAACCAATATATAGAGTGGAACACGGCTGCCCAACCCACCATCTGTAATCTGATCAAGTACTTACACCTGTAAGTGCAGGAGACGGGCTGAGCTAACGCGCACCACTATCCATATTACACACCCAGTGAACATAATAACTCACAATAAACACATTTATAATTACAGAGAAAAACATACACAACATATACAAAAAAATCAAATCTAATACACGCTGGCATTTGGAAGTTATAAGACTAATACTTTGCATATATGTCTGAAGACTTCAGGAGCAAATAAAGTGGAAGATCAACTCAGATGCAGATCGACATCCATCTGAGGGTTAACCCCAAAGGTGATCTGGTCTGCAACCTGTGGATCTACCATGTTTCTTTCTGTAATAAATTATGATGCCTATTCCCCCCTCTTGCTGACACATAAACTCTCTCAATGCCACAAAATTAAAAGGCTCCATGCACACTGGGCATTTTAATAATGCTGGTAGCGTTAGCTGTGTAAATTCATGTTAAAAAACGTGAGTTTTTCAGCATTTTTTAGCATTTTTGCATTAGCGTTTAGCCAGGTTGCTCAAAAAAAGTCTAAAAACACTGGTTTGCGTGTTTTACCGCATTTTGTCATGTTCTTAGCATTAGAGCGTTTTTTACAGCTAAAAAACCTCCTCTAGAAACCCACTAGTTCTGGGGGGTTTTTCCAGCCAAAAACGCTGATTACAGTCTATGTGTGCATAGACACATAGGATAACATGCTGGGGAATTTACTGGTTGTAGAAAAAAAACGCCAAAAGCCAAAAACAGCAGTTGTAAAAATGTCCAGTGTGCATGAGGATAAAAAAGTAACATCTCCTCCATGAACTTCTTTAACCACTTTCCGACTACTGCTACAGGGAGGCAGGGCTGCGCAAAATCACGTATATATACGTGATTTTGCCTTTCTGGGTAGGGGGCATGCGTGCGCCCTACCCACACCGCTATTGGAGGCTACAGATGTTGATCACCGGGTCCCACCCAGAGATTCCCCATCGGCACCCAGCTATCGCCGAGCATCACTGACAGGGTAGAGACCTGTGTGTAACCAACACAGGTCTCTCTCCTGCCAGTAGTAACATGCTGCTGTGTATTTCTCTGCACAGCAGAGAAATACACAGCAGCATATTTCCCTAGTAAAGCACACACAGCACACACAGTAAAACAGCACACAGTTAACCCTTTGATCACCCCAGATGTTAACCCCATCCTGCCCAGTGTCATTAGTACAGTGTCAGTGCTTTTTATTAGTGTCATTGGGATGTTAGTGGAAGTTAGTCAGTTCCCCACTAATGTCAGAATGCCCACAGTCCCCGCTGATTGCTGCCATCACTAGTATAAAAAAAAATTTCAGTATATACAGCCATTTTTAGATGCTGTAACGTTTACATAAACCAATTGATTTACATGTATTGGGATTTTTTTTTTAGCAAAGACATGTAGAAGAATGCTTTTTGGTTTACATTTACGACGGAATTTGATTTTTTAAAAACTTTTTTACTGGATAGGTTTTATAGCAAAAAGTCAAAAACATATATTTTTTTTCAAAACTGTCTGTCTTTTTTTGTTTATAGCGCAAAAAATAAGATATGCACAGGTGATCAAATGCCACCGAAAAAAAGATCTGTTTTGGGAAAAAAAAGGACATAATTTTATTTGTGTGCAGCATTGCATGACCATGCAATTGTCAGTTAAAGTAATGCAGCGCCGTATTGCAAAAAATGGCCTGGTCAGGAAGGGGGGGGGGGGGGGGGGGTAAATCCTCTGGAGGGCAAGTGGTTAAAATGTCGTGAGGCATTAGAAATCTGTTTTTCTTTTGGATTAATGGAGTCACAAAAATGTTCTCAGATGCGGGTTCTATGACAGCGTATAGTGCATCCCATAACTACAGTTGACATGATGTGCAGCATATGAGATACACCACATAGGTGGTCACACAATTTATAAAATTTCTAATCATAAAAGTTTCACCAGTATTAACGGACTCACAACTCTTGGTACATAGATTCAACGAGCATTATCTGTATGTTTTTACACCACAGGCATAAGAGCCCGTGCAGGAAATCCAGGTAGACGATTTAGTTTTAGAACTAAAATAACTTGGTGAAAGAAGCATACCGAGTGTAGGTGCTCTCCGACTCGAAAATCTACAACCATGCTGCAAGACAGTATGTATGTCCTTATCTGCATATAGAATCGGTAAATAGTTCTGAATAGTATTAACAATAGACTGATATTCTTTTGAAAAGATATTGATAAAGGTAACTTTCATGTCACTTCAATGATTCTCTTGTCCAGATAAGCCAAAACACTCTCTTGTTACATTCTCCCAAAAGATGTGCCAGATCTATAGCATCAGCAATCCTACTGCCTCGTTCTATACACCAATTGGGGAAACCCCTAGATAACAGTCTATTCTTAATAATTTCCAATTCCTTATCAAAGAGTACACGATCAAAGCAGTTAATTCGTGCCCAAACAAACCTTTCAACTGGTATAGCCTTAATCGTATGAAACAGATGACAACTTGTTGCAAGCAAAGTGGAATTGCCTGCACACGACGTTCGGAAAGTTGCTGTGGCAACAGAGCTAGTGACAAGATCACTCTATGGAGTGATATCCCAAAAATCTATAGACGTGGCATGAAAATTATAAGAAAACTCAAGATTAAATTCAGTATTTTTTAAATAGGCCACAAAATGATTTAACATTGAAATGTCACCATCCCATATAACCAGGAGGTTGTCTATATAGCGCCCAAACCAACGCAGATGTTTATGGTAAGGGTTCAGATGTGTAAAAAGAAATTGTTCCTCCAACCATCCCATAAATAAATTCGCCATAGAAGGCAAAAATCTCTCTTCCATTGAAACTCCACAGAGCTGAATATTGTAAGAGCCATCGAACATAAAATAAACTGTATTGTTTTAAATGATATTTCACTGCCTGCAAGGCTAGAAAGTGGGGCACACATGAATACAGGGCCCTCACATCTATTGTAACCCACAAAATATTGGGGTCCATTGTATTTTTTGAACCTGTGAAAGCACTGTTCTCTTGTCCTTGATGTAACCTGATAACCGAAAAACCAATGGTTGGAGATGTTTATCCACTCATTCACTCGTTCTAAGAGAGAGCATATGCAACTATAGGACGGCCCCGCATTGGCCCTCCCATTTTATGTACTTTTGGCAAAAAATGGAAAATTGGCATGACGGGATCCTGTACCATAAGGTAATTTGCAGTCTTTTGACTAATAATTCCCATAGTTTTATCTTTATTAAAGAAATCCTGCAGAATCGTACCAAAGTGTTTAGTAGGGTCAGATGTGAGGGGCTGATAGGTAGAGTAATCATTAAGTTGTCTTAAAGCTTCCATAGAATATTGTTATTTTGTCAACTTTACAACTGAACCACCTTTGTCAGCTCCCCGGATCACTAAGTTCTTCGAATTTGTAAGACGTTCTAATGCTTGTGTCTCCTGCATTGCAATGCTTGACCTAGCTACACTGTTATGTTCCTTTTCTAATTCGGTTAATTCGTTTTCTACCACTGACTAGAATGCATCTACTGCAGCACTTCTAGCATGAATGGGATAGAAAAAATTATCTCCTGAGGTCAAGACACTACTATTAACTCCACAGAGACCACCCGTAGATTCAATCTGCAACTGCTACAAATTTAATGCATTACATAAATCTGAAAAAAGAAAAGATGTTTTCTACAAGGAGCATGGGGCATGTTATCTGTAATGATTTAGAGTAACATGCTGTGCATTATGTATGGCTTTATAATACTGTTTGTACATACAATATGTGAGCTGTAATAGTATATGGCCTGTGCAGAGGTTGGTATACTAAATCTTTGTTAACATTTTTATGTGTTGTTTGATATATGGTGCCTAATAAAGTCCCTGCCACCCAACATCTGCTCTGTTTTTGTATTTGAATCATCCAAATACACATGGTTACATTGTCTACACCTCTCCACACATTTTCATATAGACCTTTTCATTGTCTCTCACAGCAATCATTTTCATTTCCCTCACATCAACATTCTCTTTATAGCAGATCATACTATCAGTCTTAATACAAGTTAAGCTAACCTTTATTACAGGTACGTTAACCAATACCCCTAGCACATGGTACTGACGTTTAACCAAAGAGCCTACTCGAGGATCCCCAAATCCTTCAGGACATTATAAGGGAACTAGATCAAGTCTATTGAACACATGAACCTGCATTACCCTTTATACTGACAAACAGGTCCAGGGCTAAAGTGGAAAGCTAAGTCAAAATTACTGCATTACTAACAGACATTCACAGACTTGAGACCATGCACAAAGCTAATCCATGCTGTGATATAGAGACAGAGCTTGCATCCCTAAGACATTAAGTTACCTCTCTCAATCCATTCAAGGCCAAAGCAATTATTATCCTTTGCCACAGATTATATTATGAACATGTAGATAAATGTGGTCACCTTCTAGTGAAGCCACTGAGGGACCAACAACTCTGTCCTTATAACTCTTCCATAACCACCTCACAAGGAAAAAAATAGGCCATTCCCTAAGACGTCACTAATGCCTTCATTATCTTCAGCTCTTTACTCCACTTAATCTAAATATGACAACATACATAATTATAATTCAAATTACCTGGCCCAGCTTGCCTGATGCTACAATAGTATAAATCACTGCTACATCTCGTAGCCCCTCATGTACTTAAAGCCCTTAAGTTCCTAACCCATCAATCTAATTTCTCCCAGGACATGAGGGCACATGTAACATTAATTCCTTTTTATTCTGCAGGGCTAGAAAAACCCCAAAGGGGGGGGGCTCTGACGTCACAACGTTTAAAGGCAACTACGCAGCAAGTATATTTAAGTGTGGCAAACACATTGAGGATCCTGTAGTTTTGTAAAAAAGTGGTTTTAATTCAAGTTACATGTGAGTGCACTACATTTGCTTAATGAATATTTTAAAAGAAGATAAGGCACTATATTTTATTTTTAAATTACATGGTACTTATGCACCTGGAGAGAAAAATCTGAAGGGAGTGAAGAGACCCGCTAGTGGGAAGAGGGATAACTCCATCCATCCATCCATCTGCCTCCAGGAAATAGGGAAACACTCCATCCATCTGAGCAACAAGGATACATTAATCTCTGAGTCCAATTAAAGGGACCCAAGCTTTTATGACCTCACTTAACGGTTTGGTTATATTCGTCAGGTGCAGGGATGGACTGACAACTCATGGGGCCCCCGGGCAATAAGGGATCATGGGGCCCCTGTGTCCTTGCCCAAATTCAAAAAAGCCTATGAAAAAGATACCTGGGGCATCTCATGGGGCCCCCTACTGACCCTGGGCCCTCGGGCAGTGCCCGAGTTTCCAAATGGTCAGTCCGCCCCTGGTCAGGTGAGAGCTCAACTGGTGAAGGAGCACATAATTTAAAGATTGGTGGTCTATACGTCACTTATTACACCATTTAAAGACACATTAAAGTCACGGCTTATTCAAAGACACGCATGCAGCGTCAGCATGATTGTAACATCATGCGGCTGAATTAATGTTGGACTTATCCACTTTATTTATTTATTTAATTTATTTAATTTAATACTCATATATAGCTTATTTATTCAAAATTATGTATGTTTATATATTTTCACATTGTTAGTGGAGCGCGACACATTGCTTTTTGATTATTTATAGAAAAACCACAAATGAAAATACCATACAAAAAGACAAAACAGAGGGCGCTCCGGCCTTGTGCATTACCTTTAAAAATTAATTTATTGTGTAAAAAATGGTAATATACTCACAAAGGATAAAATGTCAACGTCACATCGTATGAAGTATAGCAAGGTCCAGTCACACTCTACAGGAATTGTAGGTATTTGCTCTAAGGAACAGGCAAGGCCAGTGTGATTGGACCTTGCTGTACTTCATATGATGTGCCTTTGACATATTATCCTTTGTGAGTATATTACCATTTATACAATAAATTAATTTTTAAAGGTAATGCACAAGGCCAGTGAGCCCTCTGTTTTGTCTTTTTGTATGCAGTTCATGTGGATTCCCCTGGTCCGTTAAGGGCAGCAAGGCGTGCATCTTCTAGGCATCCAATGTGTGGTTCTAGACACTGTGGAGTCTATTGTTCAGCGCAGGAGTAGAAGCTTTTGCCACTTTTGTCCTCTGAAAATACCGTGCCATTTGGTTATATAAATTGATTAGTGTCAACATGGGGATATCAAACAATGGATTTCTCTCAAACAGTCCTTCTCGAACTTCCCACTGAGTAGACTACCAAATTT